TGACCGTCCATTGTAGCATCATTGCAGCGGATGCGACGACAGGCTATACAGACCTGCCTATTACAGTCAGTTTCGAGGTGAATCTCCGCCTTGTTCGCTGTACAACGGGTGTAGCGGTGGAACTGTTACGTCCAAATGAAAAGGCATCACATCCGCACAACCCGAGTAGTACATTCAATGTGGCATTTGCTTGGCAGATGGTCATGGAGAAATCTAATTATAGAATTGATGGTGGAGTTATAATTATCCTGTTACCCGGGTTTAAGCGCGCATGAGTTGTATGGGCAGGACCAGTCGAGCTCTGTAGTAAGTACAAGTCAATAAGCAGATTCGTCGACTGTCGTTCTTTCCGTTTTCAGAGTGTATTTATTTGGTATCCTTCTCAGACCACATATATTGCTGTAGTACGTGTCAAATATTTTTTGTAATCGTGCCAGTGGAAGTGAAGGGCAGCGCTATTTGTATTGACTTGATCACATCTCCCTACCGCAACTGGTGATGTAATCTCACCAACTTAGCAATCTGGTGACACGTCTTCCGACTCTTTCCACGGGATTCAGTTCCGTGGAGTTGCACGATCGATGCTTAATGATTAATGATGGATGATGGATTGGCATCTCAAGAATGCATCGTCAAAGTACTTTAAACACTGGATTTCAAGAGGGATAAACTTTGTATCAACGGGGTCCGAATACAACATATTTTCCCTTAGTGGATGTACTGAGAATACATTCATATGCCCACTTTACATACAACAGAGGTAAATTAAGCTGGATTTTTGTATGAGATTGTTTAAACTTACGTTTAGATATCCTCCGTCACCGATGCGACGAAAGCTGCCCTGTTTGAACCAGTAGATCTCATATCTACGGAATGGGACTTGAACACGACAATCAGAAATGCTTATTATGTCTCGGATAAGGACCATAGTCAATGCCGCCGCTATCCTTAGAAACTAGGAGAGATGCACTGCGAAGCAATGAAAAAGATCTTCCAAATCTGGACATCTTTTGACCGAAAGTTTGATGACGGTAGAGACAGAATCTACTGTTAAGGACGAGGGCCGCGGCGAGTACTCTGGGAGCGGGTATGCGCAAATAAACTTCCGTGATATGGTAATAACAAGGTAACACGAGCAGTCGCCGCATCATTTCAGTTCTATTTTGTTTGAACTCACCGCCCACCACTGTGTATGTCCGAACGGCAAATAGTACCCGCCGCATCTCTGCAGTACACATGCCCGAAGGTGAGCTTTATCCGATATAACGGCCTTTTTTCGGGTTGTATTTAGCATTTAGCTGCCTCGGGGGCTGTATTCAGAACTTGTATGCCAATACTAGGCCACGCGCCTCGGAGGGTACGCGTCTCGGGAGGAAATTTAGGTTAATTACCGGCAACTCAAAGAGGGCGCGTCCGCAGTTTTATATATCTATCAGAGGATAGAAAAATCGTCACTGCCACATGAAATTTGGAGGAATAGGAATTCAGAAATTAGTCATCAACCTCTGCATTCAATCGCACTTCACTTACTACTAATACAAACAATGATTTAATGATTGTTGAGGATTGTTGACATCCCCGGGGAAAATCAAGGTCGGATTATTGGATCTCAGGCAAGATCAACTGCTCTCGCTTCACAGTCATCGTGAGTAGTAGTACACACAGTGCTGCACGGTGTTTTGACCGTAATAACGGCACGCGTCGATGGGCATGCCAAGCTTACTTATTGCAGTATATCCCCCCCGGGCCGGCTTCTATGAATAACTCACCCTTGCGTTTGCTGTATGATTTATACCAGTTGTCATACCCAGATCATGCGCGCACGCTCGATGTCTGCTTAAAGAATGAGAGGTATTATAACAATGAATTACCATAGACGTGATAATTTTATTCCCGAAGTAAGGCCTTTTAACCGGTACGAAACTAATAAAAGAACGCATCTACTTACAAGTTGTTCGGTAGCAAACTCCTCGTCGTCCTGCCTCGTCGTCGATATTGGTACAGCAATGATTGTCGTGGCTCTCCTATTCGGATTTTCTCTCGCCGGAAGAGCATTTTCCCAGATATCGGGTTATGGACAGGTTAGAGTTTTGTCAACTCAATATCAAGTTCTTTAATCCAATATATATTCAGTGTGGTGGAATAGGCTGGTCTGGAGGAACTACATGCGTTTCTGGATGGGTTTGCACATACTCAAATCCCTACTTCTCCCAGTGCTTGAGGCCTTCGACCACCGCAACCCCGTCCACTACTTCAACCAGCACAAAAACATCTACCACTGTCATCACGACGAGCAAATCTACTCCTCTCTCTACCACTGCTACATCAAGTGCACCCATTGCCACCGCCAGTCCTTGGGGGCAGGTCGGATTTTTGACAATTTGTTTCTTTCCGCTACTTAAAATTATTCGTTCTTTATTACTTAGTGCGGTGGCCAGGGCTACAACGGACCCACCGTTTGTTCTCCAGGATGGATCTGCACAGTCAACAATGCATACTTCTCTAACTGCTATGAAGCCGTGCCTACGGGCCTTGCTGCCAATTATACCTTTATTCGCGCTGATGTGAGAGTTCTTTGTGGCTTCTATTGTGCTATTAATTGAAGCCCGGACTGATCTAGAATGACGAATCCTATATTCAAGCCGCGGACCCAAGCACCGTATCACCCCTTCTGCTCACCACCAATCCTTACACTGCCGCACAGTGCCAGATCACCGCTGCCGGGCAGCTGATTCAAAACGCAACGGGGACAACACTTTATGCTGATGTTTCCCCGCCTGCAAGTTCCAATGCTACGGAGCTCTTCGTGTCATGGTCGACGCTTCCTTCCACCAATGGCTTGTTCTCCATTAGCAATGGCACTATAGCTTGGAGTAGTCCGACATTTAGCACGCCGACCAGTGTAAGTTTAGGAATGCAGAACTTCAGTCACTGTGCCTTATTTATGAGATCATTTGGACTTTATAGGCATGGATAGTCTGCAACGGTGGACCTGCGTATATTAATTACAACTACACTTATACGGCGGATTGCTACGCTGAAAACCTTTTCCCATTTGGTGGATCGTCATAATTGGTGCCTATGAGGTATGCATTATAATTTCTATTTCCACTCGGGATCTGAACATATCGACACTGGTTGTTTACCCTGTCTTACACGATTCTGATAGTAAGTAGAGCATCTGTACAACATCTGCCTCTCATTTCTCTTTTGATAGTGGCCTTTTTTTATATAACTTTGTTGTCTAGTCATCATCCAATGCAGTTTCTACTACGAACGATGGTCCAAGTGCCACAGTCGCGGCCGTACACGGAATTGGGCGTGGGACCGTAAAGGCAGCGCGTCTAGGTCGCGCCGCGTCGCGCGCCTATTTCCCGTGCCGCCCACATGATAGGGGAAGTCCAAGCACAACCAAATAGTATACGCCACACGGCGGTCAGCTGCTCACGTTCTGGACAGCTTCTGGCTCACCGCTCCCAATATAACCACTTTCCCAGCCCATTGGGAGTTCCAGCAGCTCCCAAAAACAAACCAAAAAACGAGCCCAAGTCCACGTACATGTTCCCGAAATGTTGCATGTTGAAGAATTTAGCGCGCGTGCGTATAGCTCGCGTGCCACTGAAAGTCTCGCGCGCTTAGTGTGAAGTCTTAATTCGGATCTTACCCCACATTTGCCCCGCATTCAGAAAGCACACCCTGAAGCTGAAGCCGAGGTCAGACTTCTCTCGCCCGCTTTCCCACTTATATAAAGCTCGCCGGCCGATTCCCAGCCGTCCATTCCCCCTCTCCAGCTACCCCCCACCACCACCACATACCATGGCCGAAGTCGCTGCTCCCGCCACCGTCGAGATCAACGACGCCATCTTCTGCTCGCACTTCAAGGAAGTGGTACGTTAATCGCGTGCCATCCTCGGCCACTGCTCACCTACCTTGCAGTGCACCGAATGCAGCTTCGACGGCAGGGAGGAGAACGACTCGTTCTTCGGGGTGCGTGGCGCCCGCTGACCGCCGCCCGCGCGTGTGCTAATACGCGCTGCCGCAGTTCGACTTCATCGACCGCGCGGGCATCGACTGCCCGCCCGCGACGCAGAATAAGGAGGGTGCCTACACGTGCAAGAAACACGGCTCTGCAGGTATGTCGCACATACGGCTGCGCCGTGCGTGCGCCTTGCCGTAGCTAACTTCTCACCCAGCTTGCAACCAATGCTACGGGTGGAAGAAGCAGATCACCCGGGCACGCGCTCAGGCCAAGAAGGCAGGCAAAAAGTAGTCTCGTCGCTATCTCTGCGCCTCCGAATGTATAACCACTGAACGTGCAACATAATCCCTTGTATATTGTACACCATCACATATGTACCACCAACTCTCGCGAGAGACAAACGTTGCAACGCCCAAACTGTAGCATGCTATCATATTTTTACATGTCTTGAGAATGAGGTTCCGCAATCTGAGTCACCGCTCCATAAATAACCGATTCAAGGTGCATCTAATGAGGTGCAGCTGTCAATTAAAATAGGACGGTATCTGGGAAGAGGGTCTATTTTTCGAGAGTAACAAGCACGACTGCCGGAATCGAACTGGCAGCCTGGTCGTATAAACACAGCCACTACTCATACTAATATTTCGATTACTTACATTTACTTAGAGCAAGATTGCTTCTGGGGACCTTGTAGGGATTCACCCAAGTAAATACTGCAGTGTAACGAAGCATAGTATATACCTAGTAAATTTCCCGATGTAAAAAAGGCTCCGTGCCGCACCCTGCACAGGCGCGACTCGGAAATTCGCTTTAGCGAGCGCTTGCGACCTCCTTCCAGGGTCGAATCTCGATGAAAAGGGGACTTTGGCGCGTTTTTTCTACCAAGTGCCCGTGGGAAGTGGACTTACGTTTTTCACAATAAAAATACAAGGAGAACACGGACAGCTAACAATTATAAAGATACAAACGTCCCTGAGAAACAGTAATAAAAGTATACCTTTTGTTTAATTGCAAAAGAATCTGTCGGTAGCCGGAATCGAACTGGCGGCTCCTCGGTCTGGTACTAAGCTCCACAACGAGGTGATTTAACCCCTAATCGATACCGACGATACATTGAAATAAACGGGACAGAGTATGCGCGGCTGATGCGGGGGCGGAGGAAAACATCTCACATTGTTCTATTTATAGCGTACGTCAATCGAGCTCCGCAACTGGAAGGCTCGATCATGCCAGCTCGATCGCACTTCAAGTTGCTGAACTTGTTTCATGAATCGTCTCTTCAAAGCTTATGAATTGTATATCCTACGCTCAGTCTGTGCTGGGAGCGTATGGCAAGGCCGCCGAGCGAACCACAAGTCTACGTATTGAATGATGCGCAGTAATTTAGTGAATTGATGAATTATTTTTCGTCTACTTTACGAGCCCTTTTATACCTAAGTACTATGTAGCTAGAATATTCTAAGTGGTACTACGTGCTCTGTAAATGACTTGGTGAGGAGTTGTGTGTGTAATGTAAGAATGGAGATGTCTAATCTGATTACCAATGCAAACGGTATCATACGGTGAAATGGTAATGTCCAGCCATCGTCTTACTCAGCAGATTCCAACACTCCCCCATGGTTGGGCATTATCCCAATTTCATAGGTAAGATCTTCGTGTACAACCCTAGGTAGTCCCTTAGTGAATATATCCGCGAGATTGTCGTGTGTGGAAATATACACGAGATTGATTGTTCCGGCGCTAACGTGATCGCGTAAGAAATGCAGTGCGATGTCGAAGTGCTTCGTGCGTGCGTGAAATTCTGGGTGATGCGCGATTGCGATAGCCGCCTGGTTATCCGAAAATATAGTCGAGGTTGGGGGYTGTGGCATTCCGAGTTCCTGAAATARTGAGCGGTGCCACAAGACTTGTTTGGTTGCATGAGTAGCGGCAACATATTCYGCTTCAGCCGTTGATAATGCAATTGTCGGTTGCTTCTTTGAACTCCAAGCGACAGCGCCTCCTGCGAGCGTAACAACGTATCCGCTGACTGATTTTCGGTCCGCGTTTGATCCCCAATCGGCATCGCAATAAATAGATAATTCACGCGTCCATTCTTGATCAAATCCGCCGTATGTGAGTGCGTAGTCGCGCGTGCCTTTAAGATATCGAAATATGCGCTTCAGCGCGGTCCAGTGTTTGGGTTTCGGATGCGCCGTAAATTGCGCTAGTCTCTGAATGGCGTACATAATATCCGATCGAGTTCCCAATGCTGCGTAGAGTGCTGAGCCTATCATAGCCGCGTATGCGCTTGATCCTCGGGTATCCTCGTGCTCCCCCTGATTTTCTAATTCCTCCTCTTCGTCGTCGAGGTCCACATTGCCGTCAAGGGGTGTTGCGACTGGCTTTGCATTTTCGAGACCAAATTTCTTTAATAGGGAATCAATGTAATGTGTTTGCGAGAGCGTGATGGTATTATTATTTTTGTCTCGCGAAATCTTGATCCCAAGTAACATTGATGGTTCTCCAAGACTCTTGATGTCGAACCGTGCTGTTAATTCCTTTTCTATGAGGTCTGCTTCGCCTGAATTTTCCGTGAAGGTGATAAGATCGTCTACCCACACGAGAACAATTGCGAATGATTTCCCAGTGCCTCGGGTGTAGCAACAGTAGTCTGTTTTTAGTTGCGTGTATCCCAGATCCGTCATAGCCATGTTAAATTCGCGATTCCACGCGTTGCCGGCCTGTTTAAGTCCATAGAGTGCACGTTGTAATTTACAAACGCGTGCAGTGCCGTCAGAAAATCCTGGGGGTTGCTTCATGTAAATCTCCTCGGATAGTCGGCCATTTAAATATGCACTCTTGACATCCATTTGTCGAATGTGCCAATTATTAATTGCTGCGAGCGCGAGCATTGTGCGCAGCGAATCAAATCGCATGACCGGCGCAAAAGTCGCGTCCTCGTCGTAGTCCGTACCCGGCTTCTGAGAGAATCCTTGCGCAACGAGCCGTGCCTTGTATTTTATAATGTTTCCGTGCTCGTCTTTCTTCCTGGTAAATACCCAGCGACATCCTACAGCTTCGCGTCCGTCAGGTAAGTCCTCTATCCTCCATGTTTCCATTTTCTCTAAGGATTTAAGCTCGTCGTTGATAGCCTCTCTCCACTGCGCTGCCTCGGCGCTTGCGAGTGCTTCTTCAACTGATTTAGGTAACCATTCGTCCCCTTCGCGTCCGGCCTTCGCCACGAATGCTGCATCATTGAAATCGATTTTAATRTCCGAATTTTCGAGGGAAATATTTGTTCTTTCGGAAGATTTCGCAGCTGATGATATAGTGGGTCGTGTAACGTCTATAGGACCTGGAGATGGCGATGGGGTGTACCGGAGTGAAGGTTTTCGAGCCTGTGGATTATTTATTTTCCTGTAATCGAGTATTTCTTCCCTAGGACGTAATTGCCTGGCTGGTGTTTCATCTGGTAATTTAATGGTCGGCTCTGGTGT